CGGAAAGGGTGGGGGATAGTCAGATGTTGGTAAGATGGAAGTTATAGTTGTTTTCTTTTGGGGGTGACTTATAAGTTATAACCAAGACTCAAATATGCAACAACCATAATTGATGACCAAACATAGAAAGAGTGCACATAAAAACACATCAAAAAGCAAAGATAGTAGGCAACTGATCCAAATGGCTATGCATGCAAAGGCACAGAAAATATTATTATCTCATTCTCATGGAAGAGAGGACATGTTAATAAATACCTTATGAAACTTGTCAACACGGATAAGAGCTTTCATAAGTGTGGTATATGTGACTACATCTGGTTTCACACCCTGTATATGAATCGAACCAGATAATAGTGTTATAAGTATCACTCAAAAGAATGGCACTAATAATTTCAAGCCAGGCAAACAGAGGTGTTAACAGGATACTCACATTTTCCTTCATATATTGCACAACTGCAAATGCCTCGGCATCCCTTCTATCCTCGCCAAAAGCATTTATTAGTGAATTGAGAGCCAAGATATTAGGTTTCAAGCCATCTGCTCCCATAACCCTCAATGCATTCATTGCTTGCTCAGATAAACCCTGTTTAAAAGCAAACAAAAGATAATAAAGGTATGCTACAAGCATCTCATCCAATATAGCTAGCTCTAGCTAAACGTTTTAAGTAGAATAATGAACTGAAATGCAGTCTTTGTGCCAAGCAGATCATTAGTCTAGTATATTTTGTTATTGCAACAACATAGACCCAGATAACCCTGCTTAAGCATTTGACTCACTTGCCAAAAGTATACCAAACAACCTTTGCCCAACAAGTTCCTACTAACCAGGAATCATGCACAAGAATTATCACGATACACTGCAGACCACATTGAACAGGATCAGAGCTCTCAACTGATCTATATACTATGAACATGCTAACTCATAAAAGCATTATGTGTAACACTCATATAACTCTGGTTCCCTCTGGTGGAGAATATATACCAACAACATATATTTATGACTAAGACAGGAGCAACTAACTCCAAAACCAACAAGTTGGTTAAAGAATACATATTATAGCAATGCATGAGTCAGGTATAATAGGGAAACCATGCCTAACATGAGAGAATGAGAACTGAAACAATGATGGGATGACTTACCCTTTGTGCATATGCATTTATTAAGGCATTATACATAGTTGAGGAAGGTTTTAATCCGGCAGACTTCATGAGCTCCAAGCACTCTATGGCATCACTAAACCTCCCAGACTTTCCATAAATATCTACAAGTGTGGTATAGGTCACGATATTAGGCAACAAACCTTCGGCCTGCATCTTCCCCAACAAGCCCTTCATGTCGTCCCACCTCTCCTGCTCTCCTAATGAATTTATCATAATATTATATGTAGTTGTACATGGTGAAAACCTTTTTTCTTTCATTTGCTCAAACAATTGCTCCGCTCTGTCATGCCACCCTGCTTTACAATGGCAATCTATTAGCGTATTCCAAGTAACGGTGTCTGGCTCAATACCCTCTGATAACATTCGATCAAAAGTGACCATGGCATGATCAAGACAGTTATACTTCCCAAAAGTATCAATCATCACATTGTAAAAATGCCTGTCAGGTTGTATCCCATTACTCTTCATTTCCCTCAAAACCTGGAACGATCTTTGCCATTCTCCTTTATTACGATAACTAGCTAAAATCCTACTATAAACAAAAGAATTCGGCTTCACATTATTGGCTTCCATCTCTTTCAAAACAATTCTTGCACTCTCCCATCTATCAGCATTTGAATAAGCATCGATTAAAAGACTATATGTATGCTCATCAGGAGAAACCCCACTTCTCTCCATCTCCGATACAACAAACTCTGCATCTTTCAAAGAACCCGCTTTCACATACCCTTTAAGAAGGGCATTATAAGCTCTGGTTCTAGGACTCAATCCACTTCCTTTCATTTCCTCAAAAACAGCTTCAGCCTCCGCAATCCTCCCGCAACAACCTAAGGAATATATGACTGCCACAAGGGTAGCCGTTTTCGGTCTCAAACCAATTGCTTGCGCCACAGCTAAAAACTTCAGAGCCCGGCTTGGATCATTGGCTTTAGCAAAACCGAAGATTATATCATTCAAAAGCTGCCCATCGACCTCAATTCTATCACACTCAATCTCCCCATAAAGCTTCTGTAGAATAGATGAATCAATCTTATTGTTCCTAGTAAGCGATTGAATTATCAAGCTGTAATTCACGAAATCCGATTGGTAACCATCTTGACGCATTCTCGACATAAGATTAAGAGCCTTCTCGAGATCGTTGTTCCGGGTACAAGCGTTGATTAAAGCATTATACGTTAACGGAGTAAGGGTCTGCCTCTGAGAGAGTAAAAACGCTTCGTATAGCTTCTCGGAGCTGCCTAGCGCGTGGATTAGAATCGAGTAAAGAAGCTCGTAGGAGAAGCAAAGGTTGTGTCTTTGAAGCCACGAAACGACGGCGTATGCTAGGTTGAAAGAAGAGGAAGACGACGGAGAAGAAGAAGAGTCACATAGAGATTTCAATAGAGAGTGCCAGAGTGGAGCAGGTACCGCGCGGTATGACTCGGCCAACTGGAATTCGATAGGGTCAAGTGAAGTGGGCGACGCGTCGGGGTCCGAGTCGAACGACGAGTTGGTGCAGGAGAGGTAGTTAAGCAACGGAGTGAAGTCGTAACGGCGCTTGTGAAGAGAAAGAACATCGTTTGGGTCATCATTTTCATCACCATACCCGTGTCCTTTATAAATTGAGAGACTGATGGAGGTTTCGGCGGCGGCGGCGGTGCATTGGGGTTTTTGGAAGCTGATGTGGAGGCGGTTTATTGGTGAAAATAGTTGAATAGACGGGAAACGCGCGGGGAGCGGTGGCGGCAGCAAAAGCATTTCTTAATTCTTTATGTCGACAGAAGAAAGTTCCCCTTAATTTTATCGGTTCTTCGACGGTTAGTTTTGTGGTTGTGACCGCAGCGAATAGAGGTGCACAAAAAATCCGAATATCTGATTTTGGATAAAAAATATCCGAAATCGAATTTTGAAAAAACAGGTTTTTTTTAACCGGATCGGATATTTAAAAACCGGATAGTATAACCAGTTTGAGAAAAAATTGAACGACCGGTTTTTTTACCGGATTAAAAACCGGTTTTTTTCAAACCGGACAAAAAACCGGTTTTTTATCCGAAAAAATCTGGTTTTTTTTTAAAAACCGGTTTTTTGCAAACCGAAACCGGTTACACCGGTTACACCGGTTACACCGGTTACACCATCCGACCCTCTAAACCGGTTAAAATCCGAACCGGTTTTTTTAAAATCCGGTTTTTGGATTGGGAGAAAAAATCGGATCGGTTTTTATCCGATCCGGATCGGATTGAAAACCGGCTTATGTGCATCTCTGGCAGCGAAGCACATATTTTGTTTTGGTTTTTTCAATTGATGTACAAAGAAATGGACCGTCTTTTGGCCCAGTCAATTTATGTAAATATAATGAAAAGTGTAGACATAAATATAAAATATGAACCAACATTCAGTGAGTTAAACAAGGTACTAAATTTCTTGTAAGATCAGAAATTTGAACCAATTAAATAAATGAAATTGTGAGGGTTATATGTCCCATGATAAAAAATTTAGAATTATAAATAAAATTTGACTGCAATAACATCTACACTTCCCAACAAAATTAGATGAGGGTATCAAAGTTTTTAAACAATAAATTGCATAATAACTCTATCTCTTAAAATTAAACTAGTTTGAAAAGAGTACCTCCAGCAAATGTAAACATTTCCCACAAGGTATTAGTCACATGCCTCGAGAAATCTCAATAATGCAAAACCAAGAACCATAACTAGCTCCCAAAACCAAATGCCTTGCCACCAGCCCAACCCAACCCAACAAAGAACACCATTTTTTGTCACCTCTTTCTTTCTGATCTCGATTTATACACCGGCTTGGAGGTTGGACATGTTAACTCATCGTCCCGGAGTTTGCGCTTCCAACCCTTTTTCTGCCCCATTCAACCAAATCGAAAATTTACATGCATTGCACAAGCTATATCAAAATTTCTTACGATATAGAGTTAATTGTACTAGTCGTTTCCAAACCATGACTCAGATTTTAAATTGATCCTAGACTTCAAAACGTTTTAATAGTCCTCAATATATCAGTATCATGTCAATCATGCCCTTCTATCAACCTGAAGTCAATTTGGACATTAAATGTTAATTCAATTACATATTTAAAACATGGAGATCAAATTTTAAATGTGTATATCTATTGTATGAATAACTTGGATCTAACATGTTAAAAATATGAACTTGTGAATAATACATCAGATCAAAACTATCAATACAATCGGTAAACATGTTAAAAATTTGATCCACATATTTTAAATATACTCGTCATCAAATCGAAGCTATCATTTAACACCTAAGGGGCCGTTTGTTTACTGCTGAATAGAACCATTCAGTGCTGGATGCCGAACCGTTCAACATTCAGTGTGTTTGATACTCACCTCTGAATGAAGACTATGGTGTTCCAAGTCGGGCATGCAATTTGGCAATCAAAATAAGTCGGGCATGCAAAATGGCAAATTCCAAGTCATTGATATTTTAACTTAATGATAATCCTTTTTTTTACATTACCTCTCCTCCAACAGTCAGTTTTAAAATACTCAGTCCACCAGCAACTAACAAATCCCAAGATATATATATATATATATAAAGGCGAGAAGACTAATTCACTGAACTAAATAAAGCTGCAATTTGGCAATCGATACGCATATAGCCCATCCATTTAGTAAAATCATTTTAGAAGATGATGTGACGAAGAAGTTTCATCTCAAATCATAAATATCTTCCAATGAAGTTCCAAATGTGACTTTATTACAGAGTTTTGGGTCAAAACTAAGAAGCATTTCATTGCTAAAATCAACAAATCGGATAAAGAGTGATTGCTTCAATGATAATCTTTTCCAATTTGGATGACCAATCCAGTTATTTATCAAACCCCAAGTAAAAGTCAATTAACTAACCTTTTAATATGATCAGGGACATCACTAGAAAGGGGAGTAGCACTGGTTTCAGAAGCATGTAATTGTAATTCTCTAGCTTCTTCCCTGTAAAACAGAATATACATTAATACACATTTTTTATATTTCACAACTATATATAATTCAATAATTACAAAATTTACTATGATTCATCCAAAGATCATTTTCCCCCGTTTGTGAAGATGAATAGAACATATACTACTAAACTGCTCTATATCTTAGGGCTTAAGAACTATATTCTAACTAGTTTTACCAGTCCAACAACTGTGTCAATGTGTACCAAACACAGATGAAAAATCAGAGTACTTGCCCTAATCAATGAAAGCAAAAGCAAGCAATTTCAATTGTATTTACGGAACAAATGTTAACAGTTGAAATAAAAGGGTGTGTGTGGATGGGGATGATTTAGCTGCCTATCGAGTCCCGCAAGGTTTTTAGTTTTGAATAATGGTGATATTGATTGTTAATATTGGATGCATTAAACTGTGTTTCAGGCCCATCTTGTGTGCAATAATTCAACCCTTACACATGGCCAACTAGCACATCAATTTCATCGATACTAAATAAATAGCACACTACTTGAAGAATAGAAATAATATATATACGTTCACTGCTATAGTCCTATAATCATGAAACTATTTTTTCCCAAGAAATTCATTAAAATGATCTTTGTAAGGAAAATTATCAAAAGATTTTTTTTTAATAATGCTTTCTAGCATAATGTCACCAAAAATAATGAACCAAATACCAATTAGGCTGTCAGCCTTGTATACTAGAAAAGAACCAAGTCCTGTACCCTGTTCTCTGACCTATAATACAATGAAGACGTACTGTATAATCATTAACTAGTAATGAATGACATTCATTTACCTATCCATTTTCTGTCCATCTCACTAACAAACATAGACATGCACATGCACCCATTTATTTGTTACTAGATGTTCAGAATAATTTTTGGTATAGCTTTCAAGACATGTCTTCCTTAAAATATAACAACAACAACAACAAAATAGAGACTTTCTTCCACAATTCGAGGATAACAATTTGGATCACAATTTTACCCTTAAAAACATATTCTTAGTAATATCAGTAAAAAGGCATTGATAATAATTTCCATACCGTGCTCTCTTTCTCAAGTAATCAATCCTTCACTACTCATATATTCATCAAGGATATGTGTGCGTCTCCTCCTCAGTTGTACAAAGCACCTTAATCTATTTTCTTTATCTCGTCCTCACTAGGTGCTAGACCCAAATTTAGCTTTACGCTTCTTAATGTTATGTTCCCACAATTGTACAGAATCTAGTCTCACATTCTAATCTAAGCCATAATTATCTTTTCCCATGATCTAACGTGTCTTCATTAACATAAAACACAATAGAACTTAAAAGACAAACCTATCATACCATGGATGCAAATTTCCATTTTCGTTTTTCTTCTTTGGCAAACCATGGATACACATTTCTGACTATATAGAAGCACATTGATTTCACAAATTAATATGATAAATTTTACTAAAATGCTTCAAAGAGCTTAAGCAATCAAATTCATGATGGGTACCATTAAAAGGATGTGGCAGAAAACAGAAGATAAGTAGGTACTTTTGGGGTTGAGCTTAAAAGATAAAAATAAATCACCTTTCACTTAAAGAGCCATCACCCAAGACTAGTCTTGTACAGAGACAGCTCACAATTTTCTTTCTAGCCAACAATTAGAGATGATGAGACAAGGAGAAAAGAAAGGTGATATTAAGAAATCAAACCTGTCCTCAGCATAATAAATGTGTCTGTTAGATGGATGATTATCAACGGAATGCAACACAGCAGTTAGCTTCTCAACTTTCTGCAGCAGAATATAATAGTATAAATAATAGGAAATTTTCATATAGCTCTTGATAAACCAAAAATCATTCATGGTACCTTTCTTTCACTTTGCAACTTCTGCAATATATACCCTATGTCTTGGGTCTTCATTAGCATGAGTTCTTCTTGAGTGTATTTGTTAGCTTGATTCCTATACAAACAAAGAATTTGCAAACCCAAATAGAAAACAATATGAACATGAAAGCCGTATCATACTCTGGTTTATGAACTCCGTCCACAGTTCTTGTTTTTATCATCTGAAAGTAGAATTCATCCGGGTTTCTGAATGCAGCTTTCTCCTTGAGTTTCTGTAGAGCAAATCAACAAAAAGTGCACAATGTTAAAAAAAAGATGAAATTACAGTCAGCACTCTTATTACAGTCAAAGAAGTAAGAAATCGGATGCAATAAACAATAAAATTACCCGTAAGGTCTCTTCCTTCTTGTGGAATGCTTTTGCACGGACGACATAATCCTTGTGTTTCTCAAGAAGCCCGAATTTTTTCCTCGATGACCTAACAAACATCGAGGAAATAAACCATTAGTAGAGGCTTCTGTTAATATGAAAGCAGAACAAAGATATGTAGAATGATGGCTATAATAAAGGAAAAAGCTGAAACTCACGGTTGAGCTCGTTCCTTGTGAGCCCGTCTACTGATGGCGTTCCTTAATGATGACATTTTTAGGGGATGTAAAGCAATTCCAGTAACCTTGAACAAAACAGTATTCTCTGCCTCCAATGCTGCAATTGAAACTCAGTACAATAATCAAACAAATCCTAAAGCCCATAACCATGTACAAATCGAAACCGAAACCGGAACAGAAAAAAAGAAATTGAATTCTATATTTAGATTAAAGTAGTACCTTAGAAATTTATTTAATTGTTGTAGGTCTGGACAACGTTTAGTCTTCTTTGCGTTGCAAAACCAAGATCGAAATCTACATGAAGGAAAGAAATAACAAAACCAAAGCTCAAATAATCAGTTATGCAGTCACGGCTTCTACTCTTGAAAGATAACAGAGAAGCACAAAAAAAAAAATAGGGTTTCTTCTTTGTCGCTTTTTATGGGTCCTCTCCACTCAACGACACGACAACACAGCAGGGGTTTTAGGGGTTTAATCGGTAACCCAAAAAACAGGTTTACTATTTTCTTTTAATTTTGAGTAAAATATACTTTTCAATCATTCATCTGGAAATCAACTAATTTTCATTTATGCAGAAAGTTATTTATTATCCATCTCCTTTTTATTATAATCATATTTTAAAAAAATATTTTGAAATTTTATTTTTATGTCATATTATAATCAAAATCGACTTTCTTGCTCATGTAGAGCAGTGATAATTTTTTTTCCATGTAAGACTCCTACTATATTATTTTTTTTAACTAGGATCATTACTACAGTGTCAATAAAAGGATGCTAAGAATGCCATGTGACTTTAATTTTTTAAAATGTTAAATTAATAAAATTTAACACTATATTCAGAAAAATAATAATTTTGATATATAATTTCTATAGGGATCAAAATATAATCAAGGTATAATACTTGTCACTTTCTTTATCATATTCTCACGGTTTGAATTTAAAAGGATATGTTTTAACAATAAAAAGTATTCTTTTAAAAAATATATTGGGTTGTAATTAAAAAAAAGATTCTAAATATATTTTTCATAAATTTTAGATATTTTTATAATTTTAAAATATCAATATCATGTCACAACATTGCAAAATAATTAATAGTTGAGGGACAGAAAATAAAGTAATACAAAAATTAAATGATTAGGTTGAAAACTTTTAAAGATGAGTGATTAAAACTGGAACACGATCAAAGTGAGCGATGAAAAATGTAGTTTACCCTTTTTTTCCATTGAGCGGTTTTGTTAAACACGTCTAGGGATGGCAAAAAAATCCGAATCCAAAGGGAAAAATTGAAAACCGAATTAAACGGGATGGAGAAAAATCGTTTATGCGGACGTGGACGGGTTTAGTAATCTCCGCCCCGATTACCCAACCCGATACTCGACCCGATAAATATTAAAAATAATAATAATTATATATATATATAATATTAATAAATTTAATTTAATTTAAATTAAAATATATATATAATATTTATATATTTAATTTAAATATATATACCCGGCCCGATACCAGTTAAAATAATCGTTTATGCTAAACAGGGATACCCATTTCCCCGTGATTTTTCCCGATTATCCGATGGGATCTCCGTTTAAATCCCCACGATTTTTTAAGCATGAACGGATACGAATTTTTTAAACGGCAACGGGGACGAGAGATCAATACCCGATCCAAACCCGACCCGTTGCCAATCCCTAAACACGTCTAATGTGTCATGTCTACCGGCTCGTATTTGTTTAACCTTATTTTTACCGCAAGTTTTAATTCTTTACTTTAGCAATACCATCTCTCTTCACATACCCTCGCCGCCGCCAAGTTTTTGAAACCCTAAACCCCAATATACTGCCCGTTTCTCAGTCTCATCGCAAACTGTGAAATAGCGGCCGGCGACACTCTACATCTCCGTTATCTGAGACACTGGTGTAGCTCACCATGGGAGGATCTCGAGCTCAAGTCAATAAGGCTCACAAAACCCGTTTCTCCTCTAAATCTTCTAGGAACATTCACAAAATATCCCAAAAAGGTTGCTCCTCTCTATTCATCTTCAATGGTTCTAATTTATATTAGTTTTCTTTTTTTGTTAATTATGATTTTACTTTCATACTAAGCGTTTTATCCGTCTCCAGAATAATTATTTGAATCTTTTGGTGATTTAGATAAGAATCGGATTGCAAAATCGAGCAAAAATGTAACGCAGGGAGCCCGAGCTGCTCGGCTTCAGCGAAACAAGATGGTGAGTTTTAATCAATTTGAATATCTCTCATGCTTATCTTCTCACCCTGGAAATTGCTATTTGATTTCGTAGCTAAGAGAGCAGAAGAAGGCAGCTATTTTGAAAGAGAAAAGGGCTTCAAGTGGATCAGCCAGCCCTCCCCGTGTTATTGTAAGTTTTTTTTTTGTGTAAATTAATTATTCCGTTATTGTTCTTTGAGTAGGTATTCCCCCCTAAAATCCTATCGGTTTCTTTTGCCACAGATTCTTTTCCCTCTATCTGCATCTGTGAATGTAAGCTCACTTGCCGAAGATATTTTGAGATTGCTATCAACAGAAGTCAGCGGAGCTGTTCCATCAACAGTAGCTTCTTCAGAGTACAAACTACGAGCAACAGTAGGCATCGCTACATTTTTCTTATCTTATTAGTTAAAGAAAGCTTCTAGTTATTAGGTTTCAGGATTCTCTTTGATTTGTCAATTTTACGGTGGATATTGTTTTATAATACTTTGAGGTTCAGTAATGTTCTTGTAAAATGTACCTTTTATGCCATGATCGTTGGTGCAAAAACTTGCAAACCTCTTGATCTTTAAGTTAATTCTTTCTAGGTACTGCAAGCTCCACATGGGGATCTTTTATCGTGCATGGAAATGGCCAAGGTAAAAATTGTCCACGGCTACATGATATTTTGTGTTGTTTTATTTTGTTCCCTTTTAATGGTTAATTGCCTTTTGAATTGTAGGTTGCTGATTTGATCGCTTTTGTGGCATCAGCTACTGAAGAAAGCACATGTGCCTTTATTGATTCATTTGGAAGTCACTGCCTTTCAGTGTTCAGGTCTCTAGGTTTACCAAGCACTGTCGTGTTCATTCGTGTATGTTCTCTGTTCATGACTTAACGTTGTTTGTATGCTTCTGACTTTACAAAGAAAGCAAGTACTGAGGTTGAACCTTTTTCTTTCAGGATCTACCTACTGAGATTAAACGTCGAAATGATGCAAAAAAGATTGTTATTTCTAGTCTCACTTCTGAATTTCCAGAGGATTGTAAGTTTTATCCTGCAGATTCGAAGGACGACTTGCACAAGGTGATTTACTCTGCCGTGAGTTATCCTTTTGGGTTTAACTGATATATGTGTGTGTGAACTAATTAGATTTACATGGAATCACATAATGATTGTGTTCATTTTATTTACATTCTTTTCTGCTACTAATACTCCACTGATATGTTGATTGCAGTTCATGTGGCTTTTCAAGGAGCAAAGGCTGACAGCTCCTCATTGGAGAAATCAACGGCCTTATCTGATGGCCCAAAAGGTACTTCTGTGGTCTTTTATTTATATGTTGTTAAGGGTAGCATAGATGATGAAAAAACTTTGTTATTTTGGCAATTCAAGTCTTGGAGATGTTCATCTATAAAAAAGTTAATAGGTTGGACACAATCATTTTGGGTTGGGTTATCACCCTCATCCTTTCATATGTCATTAATTTTATTTTAGATTACTTGTTTGTGCCAAAATCTATGATAATAAATTTTACAAACTTCTATGTTTTAGGTTGATCTGGTTCCAGATGACTCTAGTCCAGAAAAGTGCATCCTTCTTCTCTCTGGTTATACACGTGCCCACAGCCTCTCAGTGAATCAGCTGGTAATTATATCTCTCTAAGATTTTGCCTTAAGTGTTTATCTGGCAGTGGCTTGTTACTCTCTTTTTACATTAGGTTCATGTGTCTGGTGCAGGGGATTTTCAATTGAGTAAAATTGAAATCATGAAAGATCCTATCCCTTTAAATGCTAGAAAAGACCATAATGCTATGGATTCTGACGACATTCAAGATGTTGAGGTACTCCTTTTGTTTTAAGAGAATTTGTCAATATCTCAGAAGGAAGAAGAGCCTTTATTTTGTGCACTGGGGAGCAGTGAAGTGGGTATTTAACTTTTAATTTCTGCTTTGATTCCAGGTCATTCGTTCCCTAACTCCTGATCCATTAAGCCAAGAGCCTTTGCTTGTTGAGAATGTTCCAGATCCACTAGCTGGAGAACAGGTAGCTTGGATATCAAATCTTTTAAATATTTTTGTCACAAACTCTTACTATTACTACTTTGTCATACCTTGGTACTTGCTTTTTGGCATGTTGATCAAAAGCTTTGGCCTCCTCGTTCTTATTCAATACCGACTTTCCTAATGTTGTTTCATCTCATTTTAACTGTTTCTTTCAACTGGTATAGTCATATGTGGTTTTTGGAGTAATAGTAATTGCAATGCTTGCTGCAAACATGTAATAAAGAATTAACAGAACTTTTGGGTAAAAACATATACAAGTTATCATCCAACCTTCACACTGATTTTGTATCTGCTTAACTAGCTTGTTATTGTTTTTTTTTCTTTTTAAGAACTTATTAATATGTAGTATGTACGCACATTGACATTCTTCTGGGGGATGTTAGGTCATGGGTGTTATTTATACCGTTGTTTTATTATGACAGACATGGCCCACAGAGGCAGAAATGGCTGATGCTGAAAGAAACCAAAAGCAAAAGAGGATGAAAAAAAGAACTCTCCCTCGGGGCACTTCCGAATATCAGGTCTGATTTTTTTTGCCAGTTTCTGGCACTGTAACTGTTTCTGTTGATCCCTTTTCTCATTACATATTTATGCATAATGATCTACTTGTTATCACTTTACTTCCTTGCAGGCTGCTTGGATCATAGATGATACAGACGAAGAGGATTCTACTGCCGAGGATGATGATGATGATGATGATGAGGATGGCATGGTATTGGATGAAGGAGAAAGTGGCTTTCCTAGTCAAGAAGTCACCAATAATCCAGACTTCGAGGAAGATCAAACTTCCTTGTACCTAAGGGACTCTGATGAAGAAACTGAAAACGATTCAGTGATGATGGTGCGTATCTTTGATGCTTATGTGCCGTTGCAATTTTTCCTTGATGAACTATGTGGAAGTACTGGCTATATATTCTTTTGCATATACTTGCTCCGCGTGTCATCAATATTGTGTCATTTAGTTTTAAATCTTCAGTATGTGGAACAATTTTCCTTTTCTATGCAGGAAGGGGAGAATTTAACAAGGGAACAGATAGAGGATGAGATTAAGAAAATAAAAGAGGCACATGCTGAAGATGAGGGTATTTATATTTTCTGGATGAGTGCTAGAGTTTTTGTTCTATGCTATGTATGAGCACCTCTTGTAATATACATGATAATATATTGTTGGTTGAATGTTAATTTCAGAATTTCCAGATGAAGTGGACACTCCGCTAGATGTTCCTGCTAGAAAGCGATTTGCAAAATATAGAGGCCTCAAGTCCTTTAGGACATCCTCGTGGGACCCCAAAGTAATTCATTGTGATACCATTTAAATAAGCTATGTTTTGGGTTATCGTTATGAAGTTATTAAAAGTTTAATGGTTATTGTTAGGAATCTCTGCCTCCAGAATATGCCAGAATTTTTGCATTTGATAACTTTGCAAGAACACAGAAGCATGTTATTGCAAAAGCCTTAAAAATGGAGCAAGAAGGAAGAGATGATTGTGCACCAGCTGGTTCATATGCAAGGCTTTATATTAAGGATGTACCTCTTCACGTTGCTTCAAAATTGTGTGCAGCCTTTAGAACAGCACCTGTTATATTATGTGGTCTCCTGCAACATGAGTCTAAGATGTCTGTGCTTCATTTTAGGTATCTTCTTCCATAAATATATTCCTTTTGTACTTTCCTGGTTATGAGAACAGCAATTTACCTTATTTATTTTCTTTTCTAATATGATTTCTTTTGTTAGTATAAAGAAGGTTGATAGTTATGATGCTCCTATTAAAACGAAGGAAGAACTCATATTTCATGTTGGTTTCCGCCAGTTTGTTGCTAGGTAATTACCCCTTTATACCTTACTACTGATTTAGACACTTTACTAAAATTCTGAAATCTCTGGTTATTTTCAGACCGATATTTTCGACCAACAATATTAATTCAGATAAGCACAAGGTGGAAAGGTTTCTTCATGCGGGGCGTTTTTCAATAGCCTCAATATATGCTCCTATTTCTTTCCCACCCCTTCCTTTGATAGTTCTCAAGGGTGTTGCAGGAGGGGGCACACCTGCAATTGCTGCTGTTGGTTCCTTGAGGAGTGTTGACCCTGATAGAATAATTTTAAAGAAGATCATATTAACTGGGTACGGATTCTTTTTTTTGGTGATGAAATTTTATTGAATTTGTTCTTATTCTAGGATTCTAATGGTTTTTACTTAATGGGAATTATTTTTGTAGTTCGGGTTTGTTAATCTGTATTTTATCTTGATGCAGTTATCCCCAAAAGGTATCCAAGTTGAAGGCTACAGTACGCTATATGTTCCATAATCCGGAGGATGTGAGATGGTTTAAGGTAGGATAACCTTTACAAGCGATAAAATGAATGTTACTGTTACCTAAATTATAATTCACATTCTTAATTTGGATTTGGTTGCAGCCGGTAGAAGTGTGGACTAAGTGCGGTCGTCGTGGTAGAGTGAAGGAACCCGTTGGTACCCATGGTATGTTATTGCTATCGAATATACATGTGTATCTCTGTGGCCATCTTTATCAAATATACTTGTGTTTCAGCACGAGTGTTTCGAGTAGAAAGGTTTTTAGTACTAATTTTTGTTCACTTTTTTCAGGGTCAATGAAATGCATATTCAATGGGGGTCTTCAGCAGCATGACACTGTTTGTTTGAGTTTATACAAACGTGCATATCCAAAGTGGCCGGAACACCGGTTCCCGGTTCTTAATGCTTGATCGGGACTCTTAATGTGTGAAAAATTTTGATACCGTTTTCGTGTTTGCTGTTGGAAACAAATATATATTCATTTTGACAAACTGTTGAGGGGTAAAAGAAAAGCATGCATACTTATTTTGTTTCTTTCAATCATCGTCAATAGTGAGTGTTATGTCTTGAGAAACGATGACCTTTTTTGCTTGTTCTTGTGTAAATCACCTCGTACAGATTAACTATCAATATTCTGGGGACTACGTTCTACCAATCACAAGCTCAAGCTCCTAACATCGAAAGAGAAGAAAATGAAAAGGAGAACAAATGTTACCATTTTATTCAATCAAATGTTAAGGCCAAATTTTGATAATATGACTAAAAGAGACGGAAAAACATCACTTTACATAGTGATTAAAATTTTATTTCTTTCAATCATCATCCATTCATCCTCGATGGTAAGGTCTTAGATATGAGCAATGATAATTCTTTATTGTTAGGTCCTTGAGTAAATCATCTCAAGCAGAGTAATCTCCTTTCAAATTCAATGGGCTTTGTTCCAAGGTGGCAAAAGCAAGGTGCTCTTCGTTCTGCTCTAGCATCGCCATATGCTACTCGTCCACGTACACCAATGCCTCAACTCCCTTTCCTATTTTCGTATCCATGAGAAGAACCGTATCATTGAACACAGTTTCTGATTCAGTGGAAGCAGTTGATGTAACCCACGTTGGCTTTCCCCACCCGAAATCTATCTCATACAGATCAAAGTTGCACCAGCTGGTAAACCTAATAGCATCAATCTCACCAGCTTCAGCACACGATGCTTTACCTATCTCTTTTATGTGCTCATAAAATTTGAGCCATCCGCCATCTCCTTGTAGGGCAGTAACAATATCACCATCAACTTTTCTTATCGTTTTCCTTAGATGGCAAACCAATTTATCCAACTTTGTTTCGTTTGTAATCACCATTGCAGCGCATAGGAAGTTTCCCATCCAATGTTTCGGGATCGGTGGTACTGCCCTTTGACGGATATTCACTGTGTGGGTTATAAGAGTTGATTCCTAGATGTCTGAGTTCACTTTGAAAGAAGCCATGATACACTTAGAGAGGAGGGCTGAAACAACCTCGACTCGTGTCGGATCCGATACACTTGAACTTGTTGTTTTGGCCTTCAGTGAAGCCATTGCTGTGGCATCAAAAACAACTCTCATAGTTCGACATATTGTTTTTTTTGAGAAATGGAGCTGAAAGGGTTTCCTCCCTGGGGTATGCAACATTCTGTGGGAAGACAAAGGAAGCATCAAAATTCGGACAAGCAGTTTCCTCACCAGATTTGCGAGTCATTGCAGCCCAACTTCTAAGAAACGTCGTAACGGAAGTTGCATCGGCGATCATATGCGAGATACACGCGCCAATAACAATGCCACCGCATGCGAAAGTTGTGACTTGTATCATGGCTACGTAACCTTCTGCACTTGGTGTAGACCAACTAAATTCGGCGGGGAGGAGCCGAGGAACATAGGACGAATCAGCGAGCTCAAGAAATTCGCAAAGTGGACGGTTAACTCTTGCCTCCACATAGTAAGCTCCCTCGTCGTTACAATCGATGGGAAAATGGTCCTTGATCCTTCCGGCGAACGGATAAAAGAGAGTTAAGGTTTCGAATAGAGATTCTTTAAGCAATTGAGCCCTCCCGGAGTTATTGGCAATGATATCAGCGGATGAAATGGTGGTTTCTTGGTTCATGTAAAAGAGGACCATAGGAACATAAATTGGAGGAAGGAACTGATCCTTAAAAGAAAGCATGTGTGTTCTAAGATGATGGGGCGTTGGACGAGAAGGTTTGATCAATCCCTTGGAAACTATTTCGACCTGCATAACCATTTTCTCAGGCAGAATGAAAAGGCGGGTCACTGTTTTATGTATATGAGATTGTGTGATTCGTTTCATTTATATAATGCATAATATTTAACCCATATACCTTACCTTCTTTGTGCACATAGTCAAGCGGCACCTCAACACGTACAACCACATGCTTACAGTTGTCTAACGTGCTGACACCATCCGGCACTTTATTTTCGCCACCTTGCATGGATGGGATTTTCTTCTAGATTTAGACATATCGGCCACTTGATTGTTTTTATTTATTTATTAATTTATGATAATTATAAAGTAATATATATTTGAAATATTTTTAACTATTTAACAATGAACACTCAAGCACTCTGTAAACATCGTGCTTGAACCTGAAACTTTTAAAGATAATAATCATTCTTTTAACAACTAAAACCTTTAATTCATATTTGATCACTTAATTGTTAACAACTATTATTCTAGTAATGAAAAATTGATGTCGCACATTAAATTAGTTTGATTAACAACTGTTATTTTAGTGGCGCTGGGAAAGCTTTTAGCGGCGCTTAAAACGCCGCTATAGAACTAAAAAACTGCTATTAACTATATATATAGTGGCTTTTTTTACAAACGCCACAAATGTGTATGCCATTAGTGACGTTTTCTTCACAAACGCCGCTATGGTTAACTGATTTCTCATATATCATTTTCTACTCTATATTACCCAAATTTAATATCTTGTAGCATTATCTAATAACAATAAACTTCAAATTTAATTACGATACAAATTATGTAAAAAAATAAATCAAAATTTGTAAAATTAAAATGAAATGTAACATACTTCAACATTGTTCACTAGGATTTAGTCTAGTCTCTTTCTTTTTGAATTAAAAAAACACTGTTTACTAGAATAAAAAAAGCATGCTTCTAATGGCAATTTTGAGCATTGATCTGCAACTTCAGTTGATTTGTTTCCATCCAACCATGATCCAATGTAGTATCTATTGCACCATCACGGATGGCCTTTGCTACAATGCTTTTGACATCTGCAACTGGAGTTTCATAATTCAACCTCAATTTACCTTCTCAATGATAAAAGGGTTAATGATGATAAAAGAAACAAGGCCATGAAAATCATCTCACCTACTCAATGTACCTCCAAAAAATGAATAAGTTCGTAATAAAATACAATCATCGAACGAGAAAATGAAGCGAACACTATCATTAGGCAAAATAGGTGGTTTGATGTTATATTTCTTCTCTGCTTCAACCTTTCCGTAACTCCGCCAAGGAATAGCTACAGAACATAATCGTATGTCAAAACTTGAACAATAGTAGAAATAAAATGAAAACTAATCCTAGATATTGAAATATCATCTATTTGTTACTTTTACTTTTGAAAATTATACACAATGAAACTATAACAGACTCAAATAATAATAAAAATAAATAAATAAACAACCAGGTGAGATATAATTATGCCTAACCAAGATAAAGCAATCAAAGCATTAAACAAAAATTATTACCTTCCCAATTTTGAAAGGACTCCTAATTTATTGATGTACCAGCAACGTTTTTCATAACTCCATCCGAAGTTCAGAATGCTAAGTGGAGCAGTCTTTAGTTCTTGAACAAGATAACATTCAGCCTTCTATTCTCCAAGATATGTGATTATTTGGATGCCTAGTTCTTGGACATGTACATTTTCATATTTAACTCATTTAAGTTAACCTATATTTTTTGGTATGCTTTGAGTTATGTAAATAAACTACCTAATTTTTTTGAATGGCGAGCATCGTCAAGCAGCAAAACTCTATTACTGTCTCCACTGCCAATATGTTTTCTGTCGAGCGCCCGATATTGTTACCTGTGATTGTCAGAATAAACATGGTAAGTGAGCTATCCATCACAGGCCTCACACACACCGAAAAACCCAAAGAAATTTAAGATAGTTATTCATCTGGAAATTCCATGCTACTGGAAATGAAAATTAGAGATTTGACTTAGATAGAAACCGTTGTGATTGAATTTGATTTTTTTTTACTTGTAACAAAAATAGACGAAAACCAAAGATTAGCTGTATTTAAAGGTTAGAATGAATTGAATCGTTTCAACATCAACAAGTTTTGGATAATATTCAAGCTAAACATGCAAGGCATGCACAAAATTTCCATGTTTTCTCCAGCAGCAAATCATCCTGAATTAGTCCCTTGCTTCACCACATAAATAATAGCATGTTAATGTGCTCCAAAATTGCTATATGAGTACATTAGCAGTCGACTACCAGCATCTAAATATCTTCTCCTGAAGGCAACTCGGCGAGCTTTGGAGGAGTGCCGAGTACTCTTTCCTTATCAAATCGGACTTCAATGTTCCGAATGTTGAATCCAACCACCATGAGCCAATAAAGAAGCTTGGCATGCTCTGGTGCACTCGTCTTGGTTACATTTGTCTGTAGCAAAAAAACATGGGTAAGTTAGGATGTCTCCTTCGGAAGTCAAATGAAATTGTACGCATAGATTACACATTCCTCCAAAGGTGGAATTCAGATTGTCATTCTCCAAAACAAAGAGGAAGAAGAATTCCAACTGGTTTCTTCATACGAATTGAAATATAAACCATGATGCCAAAACTACCAAAGCAATATAACGGTAACCTTCGTTTGGTTAGGATCCGAGACAGCTAAAAAGACGCTTAATGAACGTATTCATTGCAAACATAACATCCTCTCCAGCACTACTTGTCAACTCCTACAAAGCATGGATTTGAGACAATTATAATCAATATGTAATGCATCAAGTATTCATTAAGTTCTAGTCATAATCAAAATGCAAACATAACTATAGAACCGACTGTCAACAAGAACATTTGTTTAGCTTCAAATTTTGTGGCTCCAGAGACTTGAGATATTCTAACAGCTCATTTGGAGCATTTGCAGAATTTCTGCCGACCTGACGATTTAGTTCCTCAATCTCTGCTTCAAGAAACTCAATGTACTTTTTAGCATCCATTTTCTCCGGGCCAGAAACATTATGCCACCTGATAACTTCACCAGACACATTCTTTTGTGTACCAGGTGCATAATCAGGAACATCCTGTAAAGATGAAGCCCTTTAGCACCATTGAAAAATACTTGGACATTTAAGAGTTTATTAATATAGATGGTATTGCCATTAAATGGTGCAGTCAACATGATGAAAATTAAATACAGAGCAGTGAGCAGGAAATCAAAAAAATCAATCAGTAATTGTCAGCTGTCACCGAACATTTATACAAACAATACAAAAATCCAAGTCTTGCGTTGTTGATCTCTTCATTCTAAGCTATATCATGTAATGGCCCTCAAGTTAACTTACATTAACATCAAACCGAGCAAAGTATCTCACTGAAGTAAATGACAGCAAAGATAACTTGATAGGATTCAATGATTTAAAGAAAACAGGTATGTTTTGTATAGACACAAATGACCCATGCAGGTATGGTTCGGGAACAAACCACCATGGAGATGAAGTGATGTGAGAGCCATTACTTTTTGGGTATGGATTCAGTGGCAAAGCAATAGCAATGCCTCTCGGGAAAACAGCTACGATCTTGGCTTTTTTCAAGATGCAAAAGGGGAAAAACACATACCTTTTTCTCTTGCACGTCGGGAAGAGCAGCCTGCTCCAAACTTTGTTTCAATTCCAATCGGTATTGTGCATTCTTAAACATATATCCAGTCAGTACATGAGCTGTGCAAGATTTTCGGCAACCAAAAGGAAAATCAGAGAAATCCAAATGATTGTCTAAACCAACACTAGTCAAGTTCAATAACACTAATTTAACATAATGAAAATATACACGAAGAACATATATCATGCATTCTCGAAAACATATCCAGTAATCATAACACTATACATTAGTTGTCCCAAGATTTTCAGCAACCTAAAGTGAAATTTAAGAGCTCTCAATGAATGTCTAAACGAACAAGCGTATAGTTCAATAACACTGATAAAAAAACAGTCAAAATCGAAACGAGGAACATCAATTATCATAATATGCTTACAGTGGTGACCGTCGCAGCAAAGAATTTCTTTCAATTTTCAGTCTCATTTCATTTCCAGAGCCTAATAAATTAGAATCCTTAGCAAAAAGGAAAACGAAACCTGCTGAGGGGCTCGTTTCACGAACAATTCCATGAACTCCGGCTGCACATTTTTCACATACTCCAATAGAATCTCTCGCCTGGTCCTAAGCTGCTGGTTTTTATTTAATATGAAAAAAAAGGTACACTTAAAACCCAAAATGCATAAAGATAATAACTCATCCAAGAAAAAGAAAAAAAAACATGAAAGATAGAAAAGAGAAAGATACCAGACCGCCATTAGGAGGCTTGGAATCACCGTTGGGATTAGACCCATCATCGCTCTTTGAAGAATCATAAGCTTTAATTCTGAAACCCAATATCGTGTTGCTTTTAATCTTTCGTGGGAAGCGAAGCGAAGCGAATGTTTAGTGTTGTCATACGATGAGAAGAGATTGAAAGAAGATTGCAATACAAAAGACGAGGGTTTCACGGTCAATGAATTCATCTTAGCTCTTACAATCAAAGGAGAATGAAGTTGAATTTGTTCCGTGTTTATTTATGGTATGGACGTTAATCACAACGTGTGAAGTAAAAGAGGGATGTGAAAGCGGTGAGCTTTTGGGTACGGCAGCTCCGAAAGATGAGGGCTTTATTGGTTGGTGTGAATTCGAAAGTAGCAGTCAGTTTTTATGTTGGATAAAGTACAATATAAGTCATTCAATTATGTATTTTGTAACTAATGGGTCAATTTGTTTTCTAAACCTTACAAAATGATCACTCAATAAAATATTATTGTAAGCATATCATTTATACTTAATATACGAAATAACAATATGATATAATATAATAATAATTATAATAATTAATACTTATATAATCTATCAATTTATTCTTAATTTGAAATGATTTAATAAATTTAATCTTTTTATTTACAAATTACATCATTTTAGCCTTTGTTATTCTCTCAAATTACTTGTTCTTCTCTCCAAATTGTTATATTACTTTTATGTTACTTTCTTGGAATAATAATAGTTTACTAATAATTTATTAATGTTTTATTACATAATGTATTTATTCCAACTATTACTTTAATCCAATAGAATTGTTTGATTTGACAGTATAAATATTATAAATATGTAATGAGAAAGGTTCGTTATTTCGAGTCAGGTCCTGTCTCTTAAGTTTCTTCAACTCTTTGAGCTTCTTTGGTTAAACATGTAATGGAGCGGGTTAGTTGCATTGGGTCGGGGTTCTTCAATTAATTGAGTTTTTGTTGTTAAGCACTTAGCTTGGTGTAATTGTAAACCAGATTAAATCAATTCAGAAAAATACTTAATCGTGTTGATTATTTTATCTAACTAATGACATTATAAAGATAAAATGAATTTTTAAACTATAATACATGGATTAAATATCAATGTTTAATATACATCAAAATCGTAAATTGTTCATAAAATAGTACAAGTAATTTGAATTAAAATCATATTGAATTTGTTCGTAAAAAAGTAATTGAACGATTTTTCGGATGTCGTACTTAATTAAATTTAACGTTTGTTGTTAATGCAGTACTTGATATTTCCATGCACACTATAAACTTACAACGAGCCAAGAAAAATATACGAACTCATGTACACTAGATTGACCGATTGACGAACTCCTAATAATATATGGTAAAACCCAGTCAAATTCAAAGGCCTTGAGGAAGTTATTTATTTAACACAATCACCCAGCCGTGGGATGGACTAACCATTTCAAAGAATTAATTATAAATCAACCAATAATCCAAAAATGTTCCTCTAATCTCTACACATGTTTCAAGTTCAACTAATTTAAAACCACCTAAATTGAAAATAAATGCGAATGATTACCCCAAAATCAAATCAGATTTGTTCATCACCTTGAGGAAGCGATGCCCCAAAATCAAGCTTTGGGACGACACCAGGCGGCCTTTCCCGAGGTTTGATCGATAACAACTGGGTTGAGTCGCCCACCACATCTGCCCATCCATAATGAGGTTCAATCCTTCAACGAAAATACGAACACTTGTCAAGAAATGCATATATTTAACGAACATGTGTATAATTTTATGTATTATCAATGAATTAGATGACACAAGATTAAAATATAATTAGCTTTATTTGATTTTATCTCTAATGACATGGCATCATCTCATTTATTGATAGTGTGTTGGATTATAAGCCATCAATGGCCAAATATTGACCCAAATATATATATAGAGAGAGAGTTATTTTTAACAAGGCCAAAAACAAATGTTCTTACTCATAATATGTGTCCTCGTCAATAACTAAATCCCAGCTTTCACCAGTTGTGCTCTTCCCATATTTGTGAACTTTCCTGTTTTCCAGACAAAGGGAATTTTAGTTTCTCCCGTGTTGAATTGCATCGGAGAGACACATGAAGATGCTAAACAAATAAACAGTCCGATTATTAATCAGAATACAATTTAGCACGAGAAAAATATGCTGTAAAACATGGAAATTATAAGCTAACGTGAAAGAATTAGTTTAAGGGTTTCAGTGACTGTTCCATACCCGTTTCCAAAATGTTCCTCATCCCACGTTCTCGACCAACCTGTGACCAGAATATCTTAGTTACAAAAGTTAAATGAATACAAAACCTAAACTTGAAAATAAAAACCTAAGAGTCCATTTGGTTCTAGGAAATAGAGACCATTTTCATTATCTTGGAAAATAGAAAACATTGAAGAAAATGTGTTTAGTTGTAAAATTGGAAAATGAATTTTAGAAAATGAAAACAAAAATAATTAAAAATTTAAAGACGTAAGAAAGATGTTTCTAATATTTTTATTAAAATTGTTTTGAAAATTTAGAAAACTTGAAAACAAAGGTTTTGAAAACTAGAACCAAGTTGACACTAAACTCCTATCATGTAAACCAGAATGTGAAAACAAAAAACTTTTGTTGAATTATGCATCACAAAGCATAAAACATGAAATGACTATACATACGTTCACCACTCCGAGATACGTGCCATGTCTCCCCTTGACGTGCACCGATACCCTCAAAGAGCTTCTCTTCCCACTTATCTCCCCATTTAGATCCCACTTCAGTCTCAGCCCATTTGTCTGTCCTGATTATTATCAGCATAGAAATTTTATTATGACCACAGGAAAATGCTCAGGGTGGAAGGCCAGGCCAAATAGGAAAATAGAGAAGAAAAGTTTACAATCATAATATCAGCTTTTCTTATGAGAAGATAAAAAGAAAGGCTGATGAAATTTTGCATCAGTCTAAGTACAATCATTCCAGATAAAACATGGCATGATATGTTGTCTTTCTTGTACGACTAACTGAAGATAGTAATTTGTGCCAGGAAAAAGATCATGAGTTTGAACTAAATTAAGTCAAAATCTAGTAGTCCGTTAGTACAGAGTGGTTCTGCTTAATAGGTTAATTGAAAATTACCATTTTACAATAGATCCACATCCATCATAATGCTCTCCCCACTTTTCCCACCATGACTGTTCATTCAGCTTACCATACTTGTGTGCCCCTTTCTCTGTCCACCCTTTAGCATCATACTTCTCCCACCTATCATCGACAGGAAGTATGGATAATACGAATACATAATAAAAATGAAAGCTAATCTCATGAATTTCATGCATTGGTATGTAACTCACCATTTCTCATACCAAACAGCATTTTCACTACCTTTTTTAGCTTGCTTCTGTGCACTCTTCTCTATCCTTGCTAAATTGCTGCAGTTTTAAACAAGTAGTAATGATTGCACTGATGAAAAATTGCAAGTGTGGTAAACTGGAAAGATCCTATTTGTCACTATATGACGATTGACAAAAGTAAAGTGTTCCTAGATCAGGTGAATGATGTGGAAACAAAGACCTCCATTCATCTTGATGAAGCAATTCTTGCCAAGTTTCCCACCATGAATCTCCTTCAGGGTTTCTTCCTGACTTCTCAGCACCTATGAAATATAACCTCTATTAAAAGTAACTCAGACCCATTCCCAATAGATTTTAAAGTCATTTCAGCAAGAATAAACCATTTGAAATTAATTGCCACAATTAGGTCATAGAATAAAGAAATGAAAATGCAAGTAAAAGTACCTAGCTCTTTGTATCCATTACAGTCACTTTTCTCCCACCACTGTCAAAGATGTCAATTAATTCAATTAAATACATATACAACAGATGATACTTATCGGGATTATAAATACATGCTAAGTAACAGAATCTGAAAAAAGACCTTACAGTTTGCTAGTAGTTTTGATATTCCATATTCAAATCTTTAAGAAGCATCGTCCTTCCTCAATTTAACATTCAAAGATGATTCGTTATAAAAACACCTTGGCACCCCACTCCCAAAATAAACAAAAATAAACACAGAAGTTGGCTGATCAATCTATCTTTATTGCAAAGCACCAAAGAATGGATATCCTAACTGAATTTGAGTTATTTCTTTTGCATTATAATAATAACAGACACATACTTCAAATAATGCTACTAGATACGTTGTCCATTTAACACAAAAGTAGATGATAGGCATTGATAACAATATGCACAGCAGGCTAGCTAAGTAACAAATTTCACCTTCAACATGAATATTTTTTAGAGCTTTAGAAATATTGGCAACTGATGACCTGTCAGAAATATCCTTCCAAGTTTAAAAACAGAGAAGTTTCTCCCAAGATCTCTTCAAACAACTTTGGTGGCAAACATAATACCTAATTGTTTTAATTTACAATCATAGGTTGATGTTCGTTGATATTTGAAAGAACACTCGGAATTTCTGCTCAATTGCAACTATAAGATCCAAAAAACTCGTAGATCAAAATGACATATAATAGGAATAATATTATACCGTTTCCATCCATTCAGAGGATCCATCAAGGGATTTACCACCCATCCTTGTCCATCTACACCAGTATCCACTCTCACCAAGGTCCTCACCACTTTCTCGATACCAAGTACTTCCATCTTCATTCGTGCCGAACTCCTTAAAATTCTCATTTAACAGGCTAATGCCCCAGTCCTCCTCATTTGCAATACCAGTGTCTACAACGAGGAAACATGCGAACAACCGTATCCTTTATTAGCCAAGGTAATCTAAATAACATCAGAAAACTTATATATATATATATACACACACACACACAATCACAGGTAGAGTTTCAAAATAAGATTCAACAGTGTAATGAGCTTCCTGAGTTACCTCTTGTTGGTGGAGTATCACGAGACTGAGGACCGGAATTTCGAGGAGTACACTGACGGTAGAACTTTTGGTTTTTGGAAGGAAAACGAGATCTGTAACAAGCATAATACGAGATCAACATTACATTCGAGCTTTGGCAGTGAACACAACTTTTTAAGTTATTTGCATAAAAATCTATCTAAAAATGATCAAGCAAATTAACATAAAAGCCAGTTAACAAAAAGTTCAAAATCCTATTCACAAAATAATATGTCTAAATTAGATAGTCACTTATCATCCATTGTCTAGTTAAAAAGAAAAACCTTCTTAAAATCGAAAAAAGAAAACAGCGTAGAATGTTAAATGCGGTGACGTACTGAGCCGAAGCACACGGCATTACAGGAGAGGCAAGAATTCGGACCCTGTGAAGGCTATTATTGGAACCGAACCGCCGGTTCTCCCCCTTCGTCACATTGCCACTGCCTGAACCGTTGGCTCCCCGGATTGGGACCAAGGAGTCGGAGCAGCAGCAACTGATTCGACTCAACGTGGAAAGCCGATCACGCCGAAAGCATATTCTCCGTTCTTTAGTCGGTGCCAATCCATCGGAGAAATATAGCTTGGCGAAGTTGAACTCAAACTGAGTTGCCAATCCTCTGTGACTCGTTGCCATAGATTAAGAAAATGCCATGGAAGAGTCCAGATAAAGAAAGGCAAAATTTATACGCTTATTTTTTTAAGGAAAAAAATGAGATTTGGTTAAATGAGGAAAGCGGATTTGGAAGGAGTGGGAGTTGAAAAGCTAGAGAAATGGGCGGCCAACGGCAACGTAAGACAGAAAATATCGGCAGAATCTTCGCGTTTGGGATTCATTTGGCGGGCACATGACTTCTTCCAAACAACGCTGAAACTTAAAGAACAGTTGAAAAAAAAAATGTTTTAAGAGGTGCTAACGAGTCTGTGACTCTGTGTGGTGTGTTTCTGTTCGCTTCATCAAATCATCAAGGCTTAAATGAAAGTATGAAACATGAATCTCTAAATTATGTATTGTTTTGCTTTTAGGTATTTACACTATTTTAAAAAAAAAAGTAATTAAATTATCATCTCGTTATTACTTTAAGTCTTCTTATTATTTTCATTAAAAAATTCTTTAACTAATAATATGTTAACTTATCATACTAAATAAATTAATAAAAATATTGATTTAAAATTAGAAAATAATCAAATCCTTTTATTTGTCTTCTCTTCTTTCTCTCCACTCTTACTTTCTCTCATCTCTTTCTACCAAAAAGAAAACTTTCCATAGCAAACCAAACAAAATTTACATAAAGTGCATAAACAAATCAAATGTAAATCAAGATGCATAAAATCAAAATATACAACAACAACAACAACAAAACCCAATTCCCATATGCAATGGGGTAAGGGGGAGGTAGGGTAGTAGGTTGCCCCCAACGCCAGGTTGAGAGTAGCTTCCGTGGAAGACCTCCGACAGTCAGAAAATTAAAAAATATAGATAAAATGCAATGCATGTATAAATAAATACATAAATACATAGTTGTACAGTATTCATATGCAGTCATTAATATCATTAATATCATATGCGCGTCTGTAATGGGCAGTAATCTTTGTATATAGACAGAAACATAAGAACCGACTAAATTTAAAAGTGGAGAGAAAGATACACAGAAGTCAAACGATAGCAAGGCCAGTTCTAAGCCTTCATAAATACCAATAACAGAAACGGATAAAAAGTAGAAGTTATGTAAATTACTACAAAGGCATTAAAAGAAGACAGAGATGATACACCCTAGAGATGTGACCCACACTACTCGACTATCCTAGTCTTAAGTCTCCATACTTTCCTATCAGAGGTCATGTCCTCGGTAAGGGCTAAATCCATCATATCAGATCTCAAGCAGTCTTCCCACTTCCGCCTTGGTCGTCCTCTCCTTCTGGCACCGTCGACTGTAATCGACTCTACCCTCCTGACCACATCAGATGGTAGTCGCCTAAGGACATGCCCAAACCACCGTAGTCTTCCTTCCCTCAATTTCTCGGAAACAGGCACCACCCCCAAGGACATCCTAATAGCAGAGTTTGTTGTCATATCCCACAGAGTCCTACCGCATGTCCACCGAAGCATTCTCATTTCTGAGGCCTCTATCCTCCTTACATGATCCTTCTTGGTTGCCCAACATTCAGATCCATACAATAGTGCTGGTCTTATTGCCATTCTATAAAATTTTCCCTTAAGTTTTAGAGGTACCTTCTTGTCACACAAAACTCCAGTAGCGGCCCTCCACTTTAGCCATCCCGCCTTTATACGGTGTGTAACGTCATCATCTACACCCCCATCTTTATGTATCATAGACCCTAGGTACTTGAAACAATCCTTTGAGGGGATAACGTGTCCTTCTATGCATACTTCTACATCGTCTTCGTTTTGGTCCCTACTGAAGTTTGAACATAAATACTCTGTCTTATCAATATTGATCCTTAGACCTTTTTCTTCTAAAGCAGTCTTCCAGTTAGCCAGTCTACTATTCAACTCAGATTTTGTTTCAGCCACTAGGACAATGTCGTCAGCGAAAAGCATACACCATGGTACACCGTCTGGTGTCGCACAAAAGATGTCGTCCATAATCAAGGCGAAGATGTAAGGGCTAAGAGTCGACCCCTGGTGGAGTCCGATTTCCACCGGGAATGCCTCGGTGTCGCCAACTGTAGTCCTGACGTATGTAGTAGATCTACTATACATATCACGAATCGTCCGGATATAAATAGTTGGGATCCGTCTCGTTTCCAAAGTCTTCCAGATCGTATCGCGGGGAACGTATCATAAGCCTTCTCAAGGTCAATGAACGCCATGTGAAGATCTCTAGACTTTTCCCTATATTTCTCCATAAGTCGTCGAAGTAGATGAATCGCCTCCGTGGTAGACCTGCCTGGCATAAAGCCAAATTGGTTTTCCGAAACCCTAGTAACTTGTCTCAACCTAGCCTCTATCACCCTTTCCCATAGCTTCATGGTATGGCTGAGTAGTTTAATACCTCTGTAGTTACCACAACGTTGAGGATCTCCTTTATTCTTATAGATTGGTATCACCGTGGACTCTCTCCACTCCTCTGGCATCTTGGCAGTCTCTAAAATAATATTAAAGATGTTGGTCAACCACTTAACTCCCTCTTCTCCTAGGGCCAACCACACAGTGATAGGAATTTGATCAGGACCGACAGCTTTGTCCATTCCCATCTTTCTAAGAGCCATTTTGACTTCCTCAAACCCAATCCTACTTGTAGGGCAGTCATTGGCCGATGTATGATGGTCGGATGACCCATCAACGGTACTTTCTCTACAGGGAGAGGCACCGTCATTAAATAAATCAAATAAGTAATTACCCCAAACCCTCTTAATATCATGATCTTTCGCTATAAGAACACCATTGTTGTCCTTAATAAATCTAATGCTACATAGATCCTTTTTCATATTCTCCCTAGATTTTGCAAGCCTGAAGATGCCGTTTTGTCCTTCCTTGGTGTCTAATCTCTTGTACATTTCCTCGTATGCCTTATCCTTTGCTTTAGCCACCGTTTTCTTGGCTTCCCGCTTTGCCTCCTTGTATCTTTGTTTAGCTCTCGACCTTTCTTCGTCGTCATTGCATTGTAGAAACTCCTTGAAGCAAGTTTGCTTTGTCTTCACCTTAGTTTGGACTTCGTCGTTCCACCACCACGATTCTTTATGTTCCTTGGCCTTCCCTGTCGACAACCCCAGGGTGTTTTTGCCCACCTCTCTGATGGAATTTGCCATATTTTTCCATAACAAATCTGCATTATTTGAGTTTGTAGTTTCAAAACCTGTATTAGACAAAACCTTACTCCTAAAGTCATCAGCTGTCGCTCCATGTAACTTCTTCCAAAGGATCCTAGGTTTACCCAGTTTAGCCCTCCTACGAGTGTTCCGCCCGTGCGGAACGCGGAACACCAAAACCAACAATTTATGTTGCGATGCACATGCCTCTTCAGGGGACACCTTACAGTCAATGCAAGCCCATCGATCCCGATTTCAAACCAGGATGTAGTCGATTTGGGTACAATGTCCCCCGCTATGAAATGTAATCAAGTTCGCATCTCTCTTATTAAATAAGGAGTTAGTGATCACCAAATCGTGAGCAGTAGCAAATTCAAGCAACGTACGCCCCTCATCGTTCCTGCTACCATAACCGAAACCCCCATGAACACCGTCATACCCGTCGGTTGTACTACCTATATGGCCATTGAAGTCTCCCCCTATGAAAACTCTTTGGTCCTCCGGAATGCTCCTAAGTACATCATCTAACTGATCCCAGAAGCAACGTTTCTCCCCCTCCCCTAGGCCAACATGTGGGGCGTACACTGAAAGGACATTCACCACTTTCTCTTCTATAATAACCTTAATCATCATGATCCTATCCCGGTATCTACAAACTTCAACTACATTTTCCTTGAGCCTAGAGGAAACCAAGATACCCACCCCATTTCTAGCGTTATCTACGCCTGAATACCACAACTTGTACCCATTACACTCTCTGGCGCGAGCCCCTTTCCACCTAGTCTCATGAATACATGCAAAATCTATTTTCCTATTATTAAGTGCGTCGGTCAGCTCCAGAAGCCTAGCATTTAATGTGCCTACATTCAACGAGCACACTCTAAGTCTAGTCTCCTTGTCACCACTCTGTCGAGCCCTCCCCCTATATGCCCCATGGGCTCTAAAAGAAGGACATGACCTGAAGAAATCATCTATAGTCGAAGCTATGAGAAACTATGAAAAATGAATCCAAAGAAGACAGAAGATGCACCAATAAAACGCTAGAGAATTGAGGGGTACTAAAAAGCCTAGTTGGTTACTAAGTAGGATTTTAATTTATTACTAGTTGGTTACTATTGTTATTATTATTGCTAAAAGCCTAGTGTTAAAAGGGGAGGAAATATAATAAAAATGATTTTTATCTTCAGATAAAAAAAATGATACTACTAATTAGAAAATTTAGCACTACGCAATAACTAGCCCTAGGTTAAGAAAGAAGAAAGATTAAGAAAACAAATAAGAATACTTAGCTGGATGAAGATAATAGCAGACTGGAAAACAAAGAGCAGAAGTTAAGTTAATTCCAACAAAATCTAATCAAATAATTTTGAGGTATTTACTGTTTCAGATAGTAAAATAGACCAAATCCAGTAACAGAAACTATAAGTTGACAAAACCAGTGAAGATGAACATCAAACCCAGAAAATTTTGTAGAGAAAATGATAATAAGCAAGCGTATATATCACTATTGAGGTATTCACTGTTCTTGAGAGTTTAAACAGACCAAACCCAGGGGAAAAAACTCTAAACTACAATCTGAAGATGAAGATGAACATCGAATCAAACCCAAAAAAATAAATAAACCAAAAACCTCTAAAATCTGAAGCGAAAAGGAGATGGAAACAGAGCTAAAAAAGTTGCTAGGGTATTTAGCACAAAATTTAGTCTTTGGTAATCAAAGAGCCTCTAACTACCAAAAAGTAAAGCTAATTGATGATTCTAAATATACAGTTCGGATTAAACTTCAAGAAAATCACAGATTGAATTTAACGGAAACTATAAACAAAGTTAAAACAAAATCAGAAATTGAAGTGAAAAGAGTCAAAATCACAGTCAAGATTTTAGGTTTTATGGATCTCAAAACAAACCAAGAGAGATTAAAGAATTAAAGGA